CACGAAATTCAAAACAAACTGTCACGAAACTTTTAACAGTAAGTAAGCTCAAAATTCCACATAAACTATAAACACAACTTAAGATGTGTGTAACATATACTATATGCAAGTTTTGAACATATTTTAGGTTAAGATGTGTGTAACATATATTATATGCAAGTTTTGAACATATTTTAGGTTAAGATGTGTGTAACATATACTATATGCAAGTTTTGAACATATTTTAGGTTAAGATGTGTGTAACATATACTATATGCAAGTTTTGAACATATTTTAGGTTAAGATGTGTGTAACATATACTATATGCAAGTTTTGAACATATTTTAGGTTAAGATGTGTGTAACATATACTATATGCAAGTTTGAACATATTTTAGGTTAAGACGTGTGTAACATATATTATATGCAATTTTTGAACATATTTTAGGTTAAGATGTGTGTAACATATTATATGCAAGTTTTGAACATATTTTAGGTTAAGACGTGTGTAACATATATTATATGCAAGTTTTGAACATATTTTAGGTTAAGATGTGTGTAACATATATTATATGCAAGTTTTGAACATATTTTAGAAGTAGGTAAAATGATTACTCGAAACTATGAAAGTTTCTTTATTACAAATTATCAAAGAACAAAGGTTACTTTATTCTATTATATTTCGCATACATAGAGAATTTTCAGGTTGAAACTAACAGATGGTTTCTTTGTTGTTGTAAAAGCACAAAGCTACACAATGGGCTATCTTTGCTTTGTACATCGCGGGTATTGACACCCAATTCTTAGTGTTATAAGCCCACTAACTTACCGCTGAGCCACTGGAGGGAAGAAAAAGAGGGAGTATTTTTGTTTTGTTTTTTCACTTTTTTAAGTTTGGTTTGATTTCGTTGTTGTTAAGCTCAAAGCTATACAATGGGCTATCTGTGCTCTACCCATCACGGTATCGAAACCCGATTTTTAATATCGTAAGCCTGCATACCTACCGCTAAGCCACAGGGAGTACACTTCTCAAGATAGGCATGATTTCGTGCTCCACATAAAATAGAAAACACACTAACTATACATTTAAAAGGAAATAAACTAATAATATTTATTTTATACGTTTTTTGGTGAGAAATCGCTACCTTAGTTAATTTTGGTGTTTGAATTTGAATAATTGCTATCAGTTACTAGGAATTCTGTGGGGGAGTTCTATACAATAGTTTACATTAGCGTTAGAAATAAATCTCCTGGCATAATCTTAGAAATGAAGTGAGTAAAGAAAATTAACTTCGCATGGTGGCAAGAAAAAAATAGATAAAATTAATCTCTTAGGTTTGAAAGGGGAATACAATAATTATTCTGATACTGCAGTGAGAAATAATAATACAATGAAAACCTATGATATCAATAAACAGATAGCAAATGTATCTAATTAAAATATAAAGTTTGGAAATACTCTCTTTAATGGATAAATATGGCACACTCAGTTTTAGCATTCGAACCGAAAAAAAATGCTTATTTTTTTATAATTCTCACAATACAATATATATATATATAAGATACCACTTGAAAAGGAAAACACAACCTGCTCAGTTTTTTCAGTTATTTTTACTTATAGGATCTTGGTGTCACACGTAAATAAGTTCTAAGTCTCTACCGCTCATGTAAATCTTCATGTAACCATGACCGCGTAGTTGGAACTTACAATGCACAATACTGATGTCACTATAATGCTACCCTCTAACAATACTGAAATTCTACCGCTGTTAAATATGGCATTCTGAGTTTGACGCAAAGGAAAAAGCTCATTTCGTCCAGGATAGTCTGAAAATGCTCTGCACTGAATTAAAGGAATTTGATAAGAAGTTGGCCTTCTGTCTGGAGTGGCGGGAATATTTTCGGTATCTATTTCTCCCAAGTAAAGTAGAGAGTTACCATGATGGTCAATGTCTGTTCGAACTACGTCGAATGCTGTACTTGGTACTGCTAACCCAATTCCATCACAGCCTCCGGATGATGTCACATCCTGTGATACATTTATTCGCCACGAATCTACAAGGCCACAATGGTCTGCTTTGTGTCCGTTTAAGTTATTGACAAACAGTTGGTCAAGTGGCGTTATCGACGCTTTCTCAACTATGAAGTCGTAATTCGTACTCCCTCTGAAGTGCAGCGATGGTCTTCTTGGACGAAACTCTCCCTCTGCTACTAAAACAAACAGGGAAACCTGACAGTTGGGATCTTTGAAGTACTTATAGACGCCATGCCAGCTTTGGTTGAAGTTAAAAAATTTCATCCGCCTAGTCACAAACATTCCAAGAGGTCTGACCTCACATCGTGTACTAATCCATTCCCCCGCCATATACACAGGAAACTTAGCACGAGCTGGCAGCTGGGGAGGTGAGAAATGGTTGGATTTGGCTACGAGATGACATATGTGACATCCACGACTCTGAATAAAAGAAAATAAGTTAATCAACCAAACAATATATATATATATCCTAATTCTAATTACATCATAAAATAAGATTTGTATCCTTTCATATATGGACCGTCCATTTTTCATTCATTAAAGAAAAAATGTTTCGCTTTTACAATGAACACTGGTTGTTATATTGCATGCTTCTCTTTGAAAATTTAATCTAGGAACTGCAAAAACAATAACAAACATTACTGACTATATGAAAACAGCAAAAACTATCGGGAAACCTTGATAACACCTATTATAAGTAACTATTAAGGAAGAATGACAGCATCAACATCCATCAATTTACTATGGCAACACTAAAATCTATTATGGAACCAGGCATAAACTATCAAGAAAATCCCACAGTGCTAACAACTATTAAAGAGTTGCGACGATAATAACAACCATTAAAGAACTATGACAACAATACCAAAAGTCAACTAAATATTAACGGTTGTTATTGCTGTCGTAGTTTTCTGATGGCTTCTATTGTTGTTGAAAACTATGACAACAATACCAAAAGTCAACTAAATACAACAACAATACCAAAAGTCAACTAAATACAACAACAATAGAAGCCATCAGAAAACTACGACAGCAATAACAACCGTTAAAGAACTAATAATCAGACGTTGAAGAAATGCGAAAATAATACCAAATATAAGATCCACGACCACAATGAAAACGATTAAGACAACAAAAGCATCAATCAAGTGAATATGGAACCACTTAAAACTATCAAAGAACTATGAAAATACAAACTATCAAGGAAATACTGCAACACAATAACTATCAAGGAACTATGACATTACTAAAACTAAATAGAAACTACAGCAGCTCTACAAACTATTAAGAAAATATTACAATACAAATATAAAATGATAAAATATTTTAACCCTCACAGAATCTTTTAACTGTCAAGGGAGTAAGACGTAACTAAACACAATCAAGATACTGCAACAGAGACATCTGTCCAGGATTCATGAGCACACGAAAAACTATGTAAGAACTACCAAAAGACAAACAGCTATCGAGCAAATATGATTTTTTATAGTTATTTTTTCTGATGTTTGCACTTGCAACTATCACCCCCATTAATTCTACCGTCACGTAAGTAGTATTTAACAGCCAGAAAAGTGGGTAAATGTCTTATTCTTTACAGCACTGTCGTTAAGCCTTCTCCGAGGGGTTCTATATTAAAGGTAAGCTATGTCGACAAGACGAGGAGGTACAGAAACTAGCATAAAATACCCGCACTCCGCAGGGGGTTTAAAGGCACCTCGTGATTAGCAGAGGCTTCAATGTATCGATCAAGCTCCTGCATTACCCCAATTGCTTATAGGGCTACCCCTTAGGGAGTCTGGACCCGAAAGATAAACGTTAGGACTCCTGCCCGTGGTATTTGAGCAAGTGTGCCACTTTTGGTCCCACTAACATTTTAGTTCAGACATGAAACATGGAACAAACCATTACATGTATAGAAACAAACCATTACATGTATAGGAACAAACCATGACATGTATAGGAACAAACCATTACGTGTATAGGAACAAACCATGACATATATAGGAACAAACCATTACGTGTATAGGAACAAACCATGACATATATAGGAACAAACCATTACATGTATAGGAACAAACCATGTCATATATAGGAACAAACCATGACATGTATAGGAACAAACCATTACATGTATAGGAACAAACCATTACGTGTATAGGAACAAACCATGACATATATAGGAACAAACCATGACATATATAGGAACAAATCATTACATATATAGGAACAAACCATGACATGTATAGGAACAAACCATTACATGTATAGGAACAAACCATGATGTGTATAGGAACAAACCATTACATGTATAGGAACAAACCATTATGTGTATAGGAACAAACCATTACATGTATAGGAACAAACCATTATGTGTATAGGAACAAA